AAATATTCAAGGTGATGAATAGCAAGAACCTACAGCCAAAGATAATCTATCCAGCAAAGCTATCACTCAGATTCGAAGGTCAGATAAAGAGCTTCACTAATAAAAAAAAAGCTAAAGGAGTTCATCACCACCAAACCAGAATTATATGAATTGCTGAAGGGGGTTCTTTCAGAAGAGAAAGTAAACAAAGATAAAAATTATGAACAACAAATACGTAACTATCAACAAGTGAATCTAAAAAACAAGGAAACTAAAAAAAAAAAAATCTGAGGAACAATATTAACTGTTGAATATAATAGAATCAGAGGTATGGAAGGGGAGTGAACTGACGATTCTTGGGGAAAAGGGGAGAGGGGGACACTGTGGGAAGAGACTGAACATAAACTGTGCACCTATGGATGAGGACAATGGGGGGTGGGGAAAGGGCAGAGGGTGGGGTGAGAAGGGGGGGAAAGGAACATTTGTAATAATATGAATAAAAATTTATTTAAAAAAAAAGAAAAAGCTAAAGGAGTTCATCACCACCAAACCAATATTATATGAAATGCTGAAAGGTATTCTTCAAGAAGAGGAAGAAAAAAAGTAAAGAAAAAATTATGAACAACATCCAAGTCAGAGCACATGCCCAGTTGTGGGCCTGATCTCCAGTCGGGGGCATGCAGGAGCAGCCAATTGACTATGTTTCTCTCTCAGTGATGTTTCTCTCTCTGTGCTTCTCCCTTCCCCTCTCTCTAAAAAATCAATAAAAATATATTTTAAAAAAGTTATGAACAACAAATACATATCTATCAACAAGTGAACCTAAAAATCAAGTGAATTAAAAATGTGAGGAACAGAATAAACTGGTGAATATAATAGACTGGACAAAAATCGTACACCTATGGATGAGGACTGGGGGGAGTGGGGGGGGGGGTGAAGGTAAGGGCAGTGGGGGGAGCTATGGGGGGAAAAGGAGAAACTATTGTAATAATCCGAACAATAAAGATTTATTAAATTTTTTTAAAAGTTACAATTAAAAAATAAAAAATAAAAAGGGCTACATGATGAATTAGCTATGTGACTTTGGACCAATGGGGCTGGATTTCAACCAACTCTTTTGAGTTGAAAGGTCATTCTATCTCTTTGTCCAACTCCAAAGCTCATCTCCTTTTCACAATACCATGCTTTCCAAAGTGAACAAAATACTTGGACAAAATAATTGATTGCCATCTTCCAATTTATTCTTTTCAAAGAGAGAAGAAAACACATTTAATTAAGCATCTAATAAGCATAAGGAAATATTTACATGAATATATATTATCTGCTTTCTCAGAAGTTAATATCCTAACAGCTAAACCAAAGAAATACCAAATTTTAATTTAAATATATTTTATTGATTTTCTACAGAGCGCCAGAAACATCGATGAGAGAGAATCATCAATCAGCTGCCTCCCGCACACCCCTTACTGGAGATGAGCCTGCAACCAAGGCACATGCCCTTGACCGGAATCGAACCCAGGGCCCTTCAGTCCGCAGGTCGACGCTCCATTCACTGAGCCAAACCGGTTTCAGCCGAACAGCATTATTTTTAATCTCTAAATAATCCACATTAGTAACTTCAGAAACAACAGTATCTTTTCATGTATTTCTAACATATCAAGGGGAAAAAGTTAATTAAGGAATGCAGCCATAAGTTGTAACTGTACAATCAGGTAAGTAATCCAGTAGTGAAAACACTAATTAAATTCCTTGTAGGTAAGACCTCAAATAATTCATAATTTCTCATCAATACAGTAAGAGCCAAATCTGATGCAAAGGCACACACAAACCACATCAACCTCTCACTTCAAAACCACGTTATCTAAAACACTGTAAGGATCCCTTGACCAACATTACCAAGATTTCATGGGTGTCAATAGGTATTACACTAAAAACAAGAGATCTGGGGCCGAATATGGAAAACACTATTTCTCACAGCCCAAATGCAAAAATGTCAATTGTGACCCTAGAACACATGTCAAACACAAGGCCCGCGGGCCAAATCCGTCCCGCCAGGCCTTGCAATGTGGCCCGCACCGCGCTGTCATCACTGCACTCCGCTGCGTTTCCATCACAATGGCAGTTTATGACTGTTCAGTAAACCATTCAACCCGCGATTTAGGCTGGATTTTAGATTTTGGCCCCTTCTGTGATTGAGTTCGACACCCCTACCCTAGAAGGAAAGGGATAGCATTGTTTCCCAAACTTAGGTGACCAAGGAACCTTTTGTCTATCCCCGTAGTCGGCAAACTGTGGCTCTTTGGCCCCCTGAGTGTGGCTCTTCCACAAAACACCACAGCCTGGGCGAGTCTTATTTGAAGAAGTGGCGTTAGAAGAAATTTAAGTTTAAAAAATTTGGCTCTCAAAAGAAATTTCAATCGTTGTACTGTTGATATTTGGCTCTGTTGACTAATGAGTTTGCCGACCAATGTTACCTATAATAGCTCCTAGAACTACAGATGCTTCTAAACTTACAATGGGATTATATCCCAATGAATCCATTATAAGTTGGAAATAACATACATCAAAAGTGCATTTAATACACCTAACCTACATCCTTACTTAGCCTAGCCTACCTGAAATGTGCACAGAACACTTACACTAGCCTACAGTAGGCCAATTATTTTTTTTAATATATTTTTACTTATTTCAGAGAAGAAGGGAGAGGAAGAGATAGAAACATCAATGATGCCGAAACCGGTTTGGCTCAGTGGATAGAGCGTCAGCCTGTGGACTGAAAGGTCCCAGGTTCGAGTCCGATCAAGGGCATGTACCTTGGTTGCGGGCACATCCCCGATGGGGGGTGTGCAGGAGGCAGCTGATGGGTGATTCTCTCTCATCGATGTTTCTAGCTCTCTATCCCTCTCTGTTCTTCTCTGTAAAAAATCAATATATTTTAAAAAAAAAAAGTCCGATTAAAAAAAAAAAAAAGAAACATCAATGATGAGAGAGAATCCTTTATCAGCTGCCTCCTTCACGCTCCCTTCTGGGGATCAGTCTGCAACCCATGCATGTGCCCTGGAACAGAATGGCACCTGGGGCCCTTGTGTCTGCAGGCTCTATCCACTGAACCAAACTGGTAGGGCAGTAGGCCAATTATCTTGAGCTTCGTCTTTCTCGCCAGAAACCAGTCACAAAGATGGCTGTTTTAGAGACATGATGGAATGCAAAAACCCAAAACAAGGTCCTAAAAACACTACCAACAGAGTTCACTGTAGAGTATTGATGTGATCAGGTGCCTGACTGGGAGCTGCGCTCATTAGCCCAGGAACAATTCAAAAAACTTGAAACAGGAATTGTACAGGAATTGCTTTCACGTCATTGTAAAGTCAAAAAATCATAAATTGGGAACTATCTGAACAGTCACAAAGAATTCACCTTAAGTAACACTGCTTCAGATATTCCAGAACAAAGTACTGTTATTGTATTCTGAATTGGTAATTAAAGGTATGGTTAGAAACAGCACTAGTGAAATTCTAGGGATCATCTAAAGTCTAAAAAATCCTAAATTGAACGTAAATTGATAACCAGAGACACTCTTTCCTTACTCATTTCATAACATTTTACAGTGACTATTTTCCTACTCAAAATTATTAGAAATAAATTTTATTTTATTCCTCACAAGAAACTGATGCATACTACTGATAACTCTGACCTTTTATGCAACCTTTACATATATTAGCCTGATGATAAATGTTCTGTAAGTTAGTAGCTACAACAATTTTTTAGTGTTTGTCCATTAACTAGGAAAGGGAGTTGGGAGGTCTCATTTCACTTAAGCCCCATCTGTAATTTCACAACCAAAGTTCATAACCCCTTAAGTGTTCACAAACTCAGTTCGTCCAATCTTCATCCCCAAGTATAGGTTTAATATTCACTTCCTAACAAAGCTTTGTAGAAAACAATTACTGTATTCTCCCTTTACAACGATCCTTCCAGAAAATTCCAACCGAAGTTATACAGGTATTACTATACCTGTAGGTACGTCTACTGAAGTCACGTTAAGCAATGTAATCCTGTAAAACGCTGAAATGTCTATCTCGAGTTGCTTTGTGACGTAAAGTAAAATAATCCGCACTTGCCACTTCAACATGCAGGAACAACCCTCTCCAAACCCAGAACCCGAACCACAAGCCAAAGGAAGCAAACTGGCATAAAACAACTGCATACACAGATCTGGATATACTGCGGAGACCGTCACCGAGATCGGTTCTGGTTACAGAAAAGGGTCGCACCCGGCGGAGGCAGGCAGTTCCGAACCCCAGCGCAGCGCAGTCCCGCGTCACGGGTTCTTCCACAAACGCTGCGGAACGCGCTCAAGGTCACCGCGAGGAAGCGTTCGCGCGCGGGCGCCCGGCCCCGCCAGCACCGGCCCCGCCACTCCGTCCCGCGCGGCGCCGCGGGTGCAGGAGCCGCGGGAAACGGGCGCCGGGCCGCGCACAGCCCCCTCCCCGCCCTCCCTCCGGGGTCCCGCACCGCCCGGCCCGGGACTCCGCGGGCCGTCCCGCCCTCCTCACCCGCATCTGTTCTCACCCTTCCCCACATCCTCTCCTCCCGCCCTCCTCCCCTTCCGCCCCCCCGGACCCAGGGGACCGTACCTTCCCCCTCCTCCCGCCCCTTCCCCCCGGGGGTCCCGCTCCCCTCCCAGCCCAGCCCCGTTATGCAACTCCCCCCGCCCCGCCCGCGCCCGCCGCCTCGGTCCGCTCCCCGGGTCGCACCGCCCGCCCGGGGCCGCGGCGCCCGGAACAAAGCGCGCGGCGCTGCCGGGCCCGGGGCGGCGGCCATGTTGGCGGGGGCGGCGAACAAAGGCGAACGGCCCGGAGGCCCCCGCCCGCGGCCCGGCCGGCAGGGGGCGCTGTACAGACGGCACTCGCCGCCCGAACAATGCGCCGTGGCCCTTCGCTCCCAGGCGCCACCGCCCCTCAACGAGCCCGCCGCGCCCCCAATCGCGACGTCCGCTCCCCTGCGGCACACGGCCTTACCTGCGGGCCACGGAGGCCGCTGTCCTCAGCCCGCGGGCCCCGCCGTCCCGCGCCGTGCTCCCGCCCCAGCCCGACCGAGCCAGACGGCGCCGCCCCGCCCCCGCTCCGCCGCCGCCGCCGCCGCCCGCCCTCGGCCGCACGGCGCACGCGTACTGAGCTTGTCGACTGCGCCGGCCGCGCCGCCCGGCCTCAGCCGGACGGGCCACACTGCGCAGGCGCCCCAGACGGTGGGCGGGGCCTGGAGCTACTCACCTGGCGGCCGGTTGGGCGGGGCGGGACGGAGCGCCGCACTGCCTGGCGGCTGGGCGGGGCGGGGCCGGGCGGGCAAGGGACGGCCGTCACCTGCGGCGGAGCCCAGCCTGACTGCCCACCTGACGGCGGGGCGGCGAGGCGGGGCTGGTTTGATCCCGCTCAGCGTGGCGGGGCCTCGGGCCCAGGTGCGTGCGGGAAGGGCCGGTGTGCGGATCGAGAGGTCCCAGAACCCGAGGGGGCGCTGCCCAAGCCCGAGTACGGCCTCCGGGGAGGTTTCGGGTTTTCGCTCAGCGGGAGGCCCTAACGGAATGCCGGCTCCCCTCGTCCTTGGGTTACAGCAGCGAGTCGTCCTGCGGCGCGCTCACTGCCCTTCGGAGAAGCCGGACCCGGTCACTGGGTGTCCTCGGTCTGAGCCGGGGCCCACCCGCGGCTTCCTCCCGCGCGGACCCTCCGCTGCCCGCGCCCCGCCGCTCGGATGGGACCTCGTCCGCCTGCTGCCCCGCCTGGAGGGGGGGCTGCAGGGAGGCGCCTGCGAGACCGGCCCTCCCCGCAGCCCGGCCGCACCGCCACGGGAGTACTGGTCCGCCTCTCCGGTCGGAGCAGAGCATGCCCTTGACTACCGCTGGATTGTTTGACTTGGATTTCACCCAAGGCGCCCTTTGAGCGTCTGGGTAGGTGTTTGCGGGAGGAGGGGGAGAGGACGGTACAGTTTTGACTCCTTAGGAGTTGAGTGGAGGCTGACTCCCGCGTTTGAATCCTAACGTTAGCCAGTTTCTCCCCTTCGTCCAAACTTGGTTTTCCTCCCCAGCCACCCCACCCTCACCCCAGCGCTCTCTCTTGACCCCCCCCCCCCCCCCCCCACACACACACCCCGCCAGCCGTGTCCCTCAGCCAGTCCTGGTCAGACGTGGTTCCTCGAGTGCAAAGGCACAGCCAGCCAGCACCGCGTGGTGCGCTGAATGACAGGACTTACTACTGGAAAGCGCTTTGGGTACTCTAAGCTCAGCACACTTGTTGGTTAGCAATGCTCTTGGGGTTTCACTGCACCTTTTCTTCCAAATAAGATGGCCACTGCTACGTGCCTGCCCTCACAGCGCTCATCTCGCATGACGCATTGGCAGGCAGGGAGTTCACAGGCCAACTCCAATTTAAACACAAATGAAAGTGAATCTCCTACTTAGCAGGAAGTATTGGGACGTTGTTACTTTCGTTTGTGTGGTTAATGCTGACAGCCCAGACAATAGTGGAGCATTTCGGGAACCAGAAGGAATGGTGCCAAGGAGACAACTGGTTGGAACACTTCAGTGGCTCCCTCGGTGTTTCCACCTCTACACTGTTGACTTTTGGGGTCAGATAATACTTTTTAGAAGGGAATGTTTGACAGCATCACTGGCCTCTCTCCACTCAGATGCCAGTAGTACACACATTCCCTCAATGGAATCTCAACCAAAAATGTCTCCAGGCAAAGCCAAATGTCTGGACCGGAACCCCTGGTTTAAATGTTGCCTCTAGTAATGGTCGTTAGAGCTACAAGGCCAAAGAGCCCAGCCAGCCCTTTGTTTGAAAGGGCCACCCTCCCCAGGAGGCTACAATTCCTGCTAGAGTATCTCAGCTATCGGAACAGCATTGGGAACAGTGGAATGGATGCCCATGCAGCCCTGTGATTTACAAACATACGTTCATAATTGTTATGGCTTTCACAGCAGAAAAATAAAAGCATCTCAGCTGCTGTCCAAAGCCTTACTCAGCATGCTGAATGTCAAAGTGGGTTTTTACATCACCCATGTATATCTGCCAAAAAAAACATTTAAATCTAGTCACGGGAAAAATAAGACAAATCCAAATTGAGAGCTTATCTGCAAAATAGTTCCACCAGACTCTAAAACATCAGTATCAAGGAAAACAGGAAAGTTAGAGAACCTCTCCACAGGAGACCAGCAGGAATCATCCTACAGCTGGTTGAAGGAAAGAAGCTCTGAAGGAGATGGGGGACCATTGGAGTTTTGTGAGAGGAATGTGCATTAGAGAATATTATGGGGTCATTAAATGTTTCAGTGTTGATGAGAATGCCTTGTTATTGGATAGATCCTCCCTTCCTCCAGTTGATGGACAGATGTAAAACCCACCTGCGGCCAGACATTCCTGAGCTCTGAACCACTAATCAGCACCTGCCAAATACCCTAAGCCCATGATTCCTAAGACCCTAGGTCCCTAATCACCAATCAGCATGTGCTGAATGCCCTAAGCCTCACCCCCTATCCTTGTATTCCCAGTGCTTGCTCTCTTCCTCTCCTCTCCATGGAAGCAGCCGGCAGGGGTACTCTTCTCTCCAATAAAGCCTGTGTGTCCTGCCATCCTGGTCTCTGGTCTACCTTCTCTATTTAATCTATCATTATTAGCAGAGGTGTATGCTGAATTACTTAAAGAGTTCTCCTGGCTACAACTTTCAAATGACTCGGAAGCATCTATTTTATAGAGACATAAAGCAAATGTAGCAAAAAATTAGCACTGGGTGATGGGTATATGTGTGTTCATTGAGCCTTTTTTTTTTTTTTTTTTTTTTTTACAACTTTGCTGGAAAAAAAATTTTTTTTTTCAAAATAAGTTGTAAAAGTGGAATCCAAGTTATTTTTAAAATTTTTAGGGTGCTAAGTTTCCCAAGCTGCCCCTGCTTTCTTCCAATTTGCTAACCAAGCATTTCCAGAAACAAATATCTAGTCAATTTATTTACAGTTTCTTAACCACATTAGATCAGAAAAGCCTAGATACCTCTATTTTCTCCTGCAGGAACTTTATTGCTGGCAGAGTTCCTCTCAAGCCTGGAGCTGAAATTGCCTTTAGCTCAAAAGCAATCCACATACCACAGAAGCATACTTTGGGGTGACTCACTCTGAACCCTGCATACTGGCTCTCCCACCCATGGCTCCAGGGAAAGCTGTGGTTACACTAACTTGGCAGTCCTAACGGAATCCTGAGCAGATGGTGGGCACACCAGAGCAAAGGTCTCCACTGGTCCTAATCAGGCGCTGGGCCATGTTGATACACACTCCACAGGAGCAAGCACAAGGTCCAGGGCAGAGGTGGCCAGAGCCCCCCTGGAGGGGCAGCAGTGGGACCAGAAAGGGGAGAAAGGAGAAGGGCAGAGTGAGCTGTGCCTGGAATGCCTCCAGGTGTTTCCCCCAAGGGCAGCAGGAGTAGGAATGGATTCTCCAAGCCTCTTATCACCCTCCTTCACATTATCTCTTCTTATCACCCTCCCAGAGGACAGACCCTTTGATGCCTCACCTCCCTCCCCCTGTGTCTCCACTGCCTAGATTAGAGCCTGGAGAAGGAAGGGGCTCATTAACTACTCTACTGAAGACTATGGGGTCTCTAGATGGCTTCCCCAGGTTTGCTCCACAGTTTCAATGTTGAAATTATTCTTCCAGGGAAAGTAACCTTTTAGGGAAAACAGCCACGTTTACCCACTGCAGCCATTACCACCAGCTACTAAGGCAGGCCCTGGAAGAGCTGTTACGAAGCGAATTCCCCAAGAGATGAACCACATGAGCCAATTTGAATAAGCATGCAAGAGTTTATTACAGATTCGAATCTGGGCTCAAACCTTGGCTGACACCTCTTTTTCCCCACCCCTCCCACCGATGGTATGTCACTCCCAGACTGGCCCCTCAGGACAAAGACCTGGCCGTCCTGAGCTATTTCTCAGGTAGTTTACACTACCTGGCCTGTTTTTCCCTCAAGCAGAATGTCTGTTCTGACTTCAAACAGAAGTGCAGGATGCTGCTGTTTTGATGACGCCAATCTCCTAGCCAGGTCTGGAGGGAGGTCTGCATATCTTACTACAAGGGAATTTCCGGCACTGAGTTATAACTGACTTTATTTATTTTTTTAACTTTCCCCCCTGGCCAGGTCTGTCTCCAGAGTCCTTATCTCTTGGGCAGATGGGGCCCACTGTCACAAGAGCCACACCCAGTTCTATGCCCTTGGCCTCTAACCTCTTCCCCATCTCCAGTTGTCCGCTAGGGTCCACTTCAACTAGGGTATGAGTCCCATCCTTCCCCATTCATAATGAAGGTCTAGACTCCTTGTTTCCCTGGAAGTTTAGACCAGGTAGGTCCCACCCTAAAGCCTGAAGTTACAGGGACTACTCTTTCCAGCCCTGGAGCCCTGGGCTTGGGTCTGGAGTGGGGCTGGGACCCCTCACTTCTCACGGGAGGCCTTGGAGATATTCCTCCCAATTAAAAAACACCACGCATGGGTGCTGGAGCAGCCCACTCTGCACCTCCACCCCTCCTACCAGTCTCAATGTGCTTTTTCTTTCCTTCTGTAGTTATAGGGCCATTGAGCCAGCTTTCAGGAGATTCTGAGTGATGGCTGTTCTATATTCTAGTTGTAATTTTGATGCAGGAGGCAGCAAGTACCGATGTCTACCTACACCGCCATCTTAGTTTCCTCTCAGAGCAAAAGTTTTAGATTTTTATTAAGTCTAATTGTATGAATTGAAATGTGTCCCCCCAAAAAAGATATATTACAGCCCTGTGAATATGACACATGTAATCAGATGTAATCTGTAGATATAATCAAGCCAACATGGGGCCCTACTGGATGAGGGTGGACCCTAACTCAACGACTGGTGTCCTTATAAGGAGAGAGGGACACATAGATACAGAGACACAGGGAGAGCACCATGCGAACACAAAGGCAGTGAATGAGGGAAGTGACTACAAGCCAAGGGATACCGGTGTAATTAACCTAGTTATTCATAATAGGGAAGGAGCAAAGGGAAGGCCAAATATAGGCCATTTGGGCAGCTTTGCCAGGAAGCTGCAACTTTGCTCACCCCATGGGACTGGGAAGGGAAGAATGGGTGTATGCCCA